TAGATAACCGAACAGGTCATCTATGCCCCAGCGGGACCTATGAAGTATAGGCAAACAGCCTTTCAGCATCAGACAACTGGTTGGAGTAGGATAACATTCCTAATATGTATATAATTTGTGTGATGTTAGTCAGATGGCTTTGTCGGTGAAATAATATGGACCCATGCAGTTAACCAATAAAATTAATTAAAAATCACAGCTATATAATTTACAACAAAAAAATTTTTGGCTAATTCGAATAACTACTCTAATCGCTATCCAGGATTAGTATAACGTGAAAATCGATGATTATTTTTTTTTAAAGTAATTTTGTCTATGAAACTAACGGTTCTACCACAAAATCCCAACATACAAAATCTCGATAGGCCATAATACTGACATCACGCGACATGACAATTAAAATTTAAAGTCTGATAATGATTGTTAATGTGATTACTAATCTTTACACGTCGGGATTATGGTTTCGAGATTTTGGATGCATGGATTTTGTGGCAGTGTCTGAAATTGGGTTGCGGAGCTCGCGGACCGCAAATGATTTATAAGTTTCCACAACTAAAATCTGAAATGTATATGCTGGTTCCGCAAATAAATTGTGAATTTGCATATAATACATTCATATGCGCAATTAAATAATCCGCAAGTAAAGTTTTTTATTTAGTTGCAGCCCGCAACTAAATTAAAAATTGAATTTCAGACACTGTTTTGTGGTAGAACCGAAACTATCTAACAAAAAGGACCCTGCGAAAATTTGGATCAGAGGTCTTCCGATTATTGCTAACCCCGGCGCTGTTTGTTTTTTTTTCGATTTAAAAAAAAACACTGGGTTGATTTAATTAGAGAGAGTGGAGATGCATCGTATAATAGTGTCAAATTATGATTCAAAATGACTTGTATCAATTAAGATTAACATGAATCCCAAGGCGACGTATAACATATCTAGACAAAATACGAACAATTTACAAAACATTACAGATTCTGTTGTAAGCAATATCATTTATTTTATTTTATTTTATTTTATTTATTTCTTTTTTTTTTCTTTATTTTATTTTTTTAAACAAGAAAAAACAAAAAACTATGTATAAATAATATATATAAGCATATATATTACATAAAGAATTAATCTTATTACAAAGTGTATAAAGTATTTACAAAAATTGGCTTAGCATTATTAATTAATTGAAAATAATTTTTTACAAAAAAAAAAAAAACAAAAGTTCATCAATTCCATCAAATGAGATTAAACCATCAAACAAGATTAACAACGTGCTTTAACCCCAACCAGAAACTTTTTAGATTTCAAAGCAGGAGTAATAAAGTGTACCATGTCCAAATCTTGATTTTGAACCATTTCAAAACTGAAATTTAATAATAAACTAGCCAACAATAATCTTATTTCCATCCAAGCGAAATTAACACCGATACAATTACGTGAACCGGCACTAAAAGCATAAAAAGCGCCCTTAACTTGTGAATTTTCAGGTTTTAACCAACGTTCTGGCACAAAATCATTAGCATCGGGACCCCAAATTTCTTTTGATTTATGAATTGACCATATCGAAGCAGATACAGTAGTGTTTTTTGGAATCAAATAACCATCAATCACAGTGTCTTTTGTAGTTTGACGAAGAATTCCACCTATAGAAGCAGGAAACAGTCGAAGAGTCTCATGAATAACAGCGTTCAAATATTTAAGATTCTTTAAGGAATCATGAGATGGGATTAAAATTGAAGAGTTATCAGATAAGGATTGTTTTAGTGAATCAAGTTCGGCAATTAATGTTTCAAGTTTTTCAGGATGACAAAGGAGCATTATCAAAGCCATGTTTATTGTAAGAGAACTAGTATCACTACCAGCAATTAAGAATTCGATGATTTGATCTTGAATTTCGAATTCAGTTAATGGATCATCAACTTTTTCACTGGAATCAAGCAAGATTTGAAGAATGTCTTTACGTTTTTTGTCATTAATATTGAGTTCTCTTCGTTCTTTTATAATTTTCGAAACAAACTAAATTTATATAAAAAAGGAGAAAGATATATATATATATATTTAATACCGTGTATACAGCAATAAATTCAAGGTATTTATAATAAAGTAAATAAAAACAAACCTCATCAATCCAGTTGTCTTTTTTCATAAAAGATCTCAAGTAAGGAAAAGTATGACACATGACACGTCTTTTCAATTCAAGAAAAACTTTTTCAGGTAACGGATGATTTTCTTTTTCAACAATATTGAAAGAACCACCGAAAGCAGTTTCACCAATTACATCAAAAGTACAAGCTTGCACAATTTCATAAATATTTAATATTGGCAAACCATTAACATCATAATCAATAGATTTAGAATTAGAATTAGCAAGGGATAGAACTTTTTGTAATAATACATTAGTACAAGAACGCATTAAAGGTTCAAGAGTAGCAATGTATTTAATTGAAAAAGCCGAAGATAAAAGTTTACGTCGTTTTTGATGAAAAGGTTTATCAGTAGCAGAGAATAAAGTAGGAAAATTAGGGTCGGAACGAATTCCCGCAATAGAATCAGATTTTGGTAAATTGTCATTTATAAGAATTTGCATTATAGCATTTTTACTAGAGAATAAAACGAGGGAAGGACTGACACGAACTACTGAACCGAATTGTTTGTGTAAATGAAAAAACCAGTTGAAAATTTTCCCTTCAGGCTTCCTCAAAACTATAGGTATATTTGATATAGAACAAAGGAATGATGGGCTCGGAATTCTACTGAGCGGACTTAAGTATAAATTGTATATTAAATGATATACAAATATGGCGAGGAGGAATAGTAAGATGTAGCCTATCAATTGGAATAAAGAAATATCGAAAAATGAAATTTTAGACATATTTAAAAAAATTAATATATATAATTATATTAACTAAATTTTTTAATAACACTAATGATAAATTTCCAATACAAGTAATTGACAAAGTTTATATATAAAAATTTATTTATAATAATATTTATCAAAAATATTATATAAACAGCTGTTAATGTTTTAAAAATAAGATTTTGTATTCGTTATTCTTCAAAAAAAAAGTGTCGAAGCACGTTCCTTATATACATATTATCTTTTCGGGTGCGTCATATATATTATTTACGTGTTTACCTATCTCCGGAAACAGTTTTACGCATAATTAGATTGTAACACTTTACGCCTAAATATGTATGTAAATACTGGTATTTGTGTTATGTCATGCACCGGAATCGTTCGGCCGACTAAAAATAAAGATTCTTTTTTTCATTTAATCTTAAAATTCTATCTAGCCACACTTTGTGGACCATGTCACAATTTTATTCTTAATTTTTTACTATATAGTATGCATATGTTAATCCGTTGCCACGTGCGTTTTAAAGTCTAAGCCGGGCATTTTAACATTTTTTTTTACCCAATACGTATATAAAGACAATTACTCATTAAACATAATTACTGTGCTAACGCATATAATACAGATTAGCTAATCATAAATCACTATAACGATAATTGATTTTAATCAAGGTTTATCTTAATGATACATAGTAGAATTGTGAATGTTACTGGATTAAGTACGTACCGTACGTGCGTGTCCGCCCCCTTACCACTATAATTAGATTAAATTATAATCTGGAGAATATAAACATTTCGGCCGAGTCTTATTTCAGACGTTTGTCGCCAATTTTAGTTTATAATCTACTTCTCGTTCATACCAACGTTAGCCGGTTTTTTTTTATCCGAGCAAGTTATGTACGGTCGTAGCCAAATACAAATAAAATCTTCGATAGGTATATAATATCCGAAAATTTAATGTAGTACATATGTAAAATAAAAATCTTTGATATTTATACGTATATAATATCCGAAAATATAATGTAGCACAAAATGTATTTATTTCTCGTGCAACAAAGAAACCGAGAATTGAACATCTGGGATCCTTAGTTATTCTAACTGATTAAGATTTTATAGCCGTTAAAACCAGATTTTATCAATTTTAGTTAGCTTAACCGAAAAAACTTTGAATATTCTCGTGTCTAAGCGTTAGGTTTATTTACAGAAGTTCTCGATATGTATTTACAAATAAACTAGCCGACTTAAAAAAAAAAAAACAATTCGATCGACGGGTAAAAAAAAAAAAAAAAAACCGGTTCGGCCGATCGTTTAGTTATCGGTCAGTATTACTAAATATAAATTTAACCTAAAAATAAATCAAAGTAATTAGCTTAAAATAAATTATATATATGTTTGCCTAAGGTTGTTAATTTACAGTAATTTACTTGAAAGTTACCGGCAAGTTACTGAAAAATGTTAAATTTTATGGTAACTCGCTAGTAATTTACCATCACGTAAGTTACCACTAACAACTCTAGTTGTGCCCCAGATGTTAATTTGTCCCAGAGGTAAATTGGCTTAGATTATCGGCCTAACCCAATTAATTTAGGTCAGGTGTTTAGGTAAATTTTAGTAAATTGACATCTGGCCGTCCCAATTGATAATTGACAAACTTAGATTTGGGGCACAACATATATTTAAAAATAAATTAGCTTAAAAATAAATTAATTAGATTACAAACTTTATTATAAACTTCACGGGTTTACTAATTTCTCCCCTAGTTCCTATTGGAAGCTTAGAAATTGTGTTCCGGATTGGACGAAATTGATTACAAAATTCTTAGTAGGTTAGTAATGTCCAAAAAATTTTACCATTTCGTGTAATCCGAGCTTCCGGCGGATATTTTTTAATGATCCGGCTCCGGTCCGAAGGATCCAAAACTTGGATCTGGACCGGATTCGACCCGAATTTGTCAAAAACCTCCTATCTTTTATGTTGCTTGATTATCTACGCTTCCAAACATTCTGACCAATCAGAAAAGCTAGCTTATATGGGTCATGGACCCCTTTCGACGGATAATTTGATTGGAGTTTTGTTACACGACTTTTTTCCGATTTATTTTTAGAATAATTACATCACAAAATTTTTGTGACTATTAATATGTAGAAATAACATACGGCATAGCCGTATCTGAGTAGTTACCCAAATTTTATATGACGTAAGAAGGTAATTACCATGATAATATTGAAATATATATTATATTAAAAAATATATCGTTAATTGGTTAATCATCAAATTTAATTTGATTGGACAATTTTCTATTTTTAATCTATTTTTAGAACAGAGCATTTTTAAAGAAATATTTTTTCAAAACGAAAAATTATTAACTTAATGTAGAACAAAAAGTGCAATTCATATAGCTAAGAATCAATACTTTAATTTGAATCAAAATCTTAAATCGACCAAAAAGTGTCGAAGGGAGATTTTCCTAGTCCATTTCTCATATTTCGGACCGTGCCGGGCGGATCTCAATACGGATCCATAATATTATGGGTCCAACTCGATTTGCCCGCGGACCGGACCCGGATCTTTCGCGGAACTCTAGTACTGGTATTAAAGGCATAGATGCTACTAAAATTTCACAAGGAATCTTTTTAATTAAGACACGAAGGTAGTTTCATAAGTAAAATTACAAGCTGCCGGCGATTTTGAAACACTTCGATTTTTTTATTTTTACATTACACCGGATTTTGTAATTGAATTTGGTAGCGAAAAGTTGAGTAATCTATTTTGTCCAATTAGCGATAATATTTTCATACATCCAATCAGAAGTGGGGGATAACTTAGGCTTCCCCTTTTCACCTTTTTATGCAGAGTATCTTTGTGCAAAATATATAACATTTTGGTATCGCTTTTTTATTTATTTGATAATTAAGAGTTGCATGAAATGACGTATAGATTGTCATTATGCTTAATTTATTATCATCAGTTAATGTTACCAAAAGGACTAGAACTTGAAATTTCTTTCTTTAAGCTAATTTAACACCAAATTTTATTTTTTATCGACAAGAACTCTGATTGGCCGAGATTATTTACCTTGCTCACGTGAAATTTTAACATTTCCTCAAAGAATATCGATTGAATCAATTCACAATAAAATGCAATACTGTTCGGATTCAAACTTTTAAAACCAGTTTGTCTGAGTTTGCAACCGGATTTAAGATACTATAAGCCCGATTTATTATTAAAACGGGTTAACCCGAATTAATAGTCGAATTTGAAGTCGAATTTCATTAACCGGTTCTTATTATCGCGTATCGATCATCGTTATACGAATTTTTTAAAAATTAAATAATTTTTCTTATTTTCGCAAAATTCAAGTATCATATCAAAATTTTTATGCGCCTATATGCAAAATTTCAGGCTGAACATTTTACTTAAGAATAGAAAGGTTTTCTTAATAAAATTTCGAGCAATAATCAATAAAAAATGAAAAATTGTAAATCTTTGGATTTTACTAAGACAACCCTCTTTTGGCTCTTAAGCAAAAATGTTCAGCATAAAATTTTGTGTACGGACACATAAAAATTTGGACATTTTTCTTGCCTAACCCTAACTTAAAAAATGTCGGGGATGATGCTGAAATCGGATGATGCTGAAATTTGGAGTCTTGATTTGAAAATATAAACCT